AGTTTTATTGGGAAAAGGAGAAAAAGAGTGGAGAGAAAGAAGGAAAGAAAGAGGAAAAGAAAAAAGAAAAAAGGAAGAAAAAAAAAGAGAAGAAAAAGAGGAAGAAAAAGAAAGAAAGGAAGAAAAAGGGGTGGGGGAAGCAAACAGAAATCAAAAAGCAAAAAATAAAAAGAAAAAAAGAAAAAACAAACAAAAAAATAAAACACGGTGGAGTATCTTCTGATTCTGTTTACTTTAAGTCCCTTGACTTCCCCTGGAACTGGTCCGTCTAGCTGGTGTCTTGGGGAGGTGCCTGTTGTGCTGATTTTCAGGTGTTGGCACTTGGGGGAGCTGCTCTGCCCCCTGCCTGGTGCAGGGCTCAGTGGGGGTTGTTTACCCCGTGAGGCCCCAGGAGGAACAGCCCCAGTGGCGGGGCCAGCTCTGCAGCCCTGGAGTCAGCCTCCGCAGTAACTACTGAGCTCTCCGTCCGCAGGGCCTGGAGGCTCCGGGGCGGGGCTGCTGATTTGCTCAGCTCGGGGCAGGAGAGTCCTCGCTGTCCTGGGCCCTCCCGGCCTCTGCCTGTCCCGGGGGAGGCCGGATCCTGGGCTGTGTCCCGGCGCCCTGTGCTCCGGGGCCTGCACTGTTGGATTCGCCCTCCCGGTGGCGCAGCCCCCTCTGCGCAGAGCCGCAGCCCGAGACCCTCCGAGCTGCTCCGGTCCCGCCGTCCGAGCTGCAGCCCTTAGGGAGCTCGGTGCACTCTCCCGGGGCGCAGGTGTCTGTTAGTGTCCCAGGGAGCCCGAGGGCATCCCCGCCCTCCTGGGTCCTGCTCCAACTCCCTGCGAGCCCCTTTCCGCCCGCCCGGGAAGGTTGGTGCAGCTCCTGCTTCTCCGGGACGGGGCTCTCCTGTCCTGGGGACACTCGCCCCGGCCTCAGCCCGGCTCCTCGTGGGGCCCCTCCCCCTTGGAGGCCTTTTGTTTCTTTATTTCTTTTTCCCCGTCTTCCTACCTTGATAGAAGCGCGAACTCTTCTCACTGTAGCATTCCAGCTGGTCTCTCTTTAAACCTCAGGCCAAATTCGTAGATTTTCAGGATGATTTGAAGGTTATCTAGGTAATTTTGTGGATAGGTGACTTGGGGACCCTACTCTTCGGCCATCTTCCCCCCCTCTGATAAATGTAATTTAAAAAGGCCTAAATTTGAAAGAACTAAAGAAATATCCAGTGACTGTAAAATAGTGACATAGAATAATTACATATGATTCCTTTAGCTAAAATGAATACTGAGTGAAAAGTTACATCTCACAAAGGCCAGCACTCCGGGTTGGAAGGGCATCCCCACCACACAGGACACAGGGGGGTCCTTTGTGCTTTTGCTGGATAGCAGATCCATTGTTCCCCAGTCTTCCCAGAGCTGGGGATTTCTTCAGGTGGAGACCATAGGTGGGAGCATTATTGTCTCTTTAGGTTGGACTTTTCAAATTCTGCTTAGTGATACTGGGAGTTGAGGCGCTACTGCACTGGATGTGGGACTGGCCGGTAGCAGTCAAGATGAAGACACATTCAATCTGGGCCTTTCCTGACAGAGATGTGGCTCAAACACTCAATTGCTGGCTAGTCATGCCCAATCCACTTGGGCTTACACAGTTCTCTTCCAAACTTTTTGCTCTGTTGTAGCAATATACCCTGGACATCTTGGCATACGCCAAGGAATATATGTTATAATTTTATTTTCTGAGTTAAAAAGGTTCCCATATTAATAAGCTTACTTAATAAATAAAAACTGTATTTGTACCATAAATGGCTTTTTAAAAAAGCATGTGTAAGTTTTAGATGGGATAAAACAAACAAATTTGAGTCCATTATGCTGTTTTAAGTCAAACTCCTCATTCTGAAGCAGCAGCTGTTCTTACTAATTAGGATCACATTGATGGGTGGATAGTACTAAGACTTTTGCCTTGATGTCATTTTTTCTGGGTTGGCCAATGACAGCTTCTCTCTTCTGATGTCTGGGTGCTATAGTCAGCAAAAGACATGCGTGGGCTTCTGGGCAGGTCACAGAACTGGTTCACTTCCATACTCCAGAGAGTCATTTGGCAGAAAACTTGGCCAGTGTGCATAGACACTTTTAAGTGACTTCCATGGGTGTGGAGACATCTTTGCAAAGCCTCTTTTTTCCTTCTCTTTCAGAACAAATGTCTGAGCTGTCAAAAATCCAGTACTTTTACACAGTTCTAAGTACTATGTTTGGTGCGCGTTAGGTCTGAAGATGGGGAGCCCTGTGATGGCTGAGCCTGCACTTGATGCCGGCAGTCTCTTTGTGTGACTCTTTCAATATCTTGGCAAAGACACCTGTCCTCTACTCTCCAGAACATTAGAGACTGCCTACATGACAGCGGAAATATTATTTAATGATATTAAATCAGTTTCTACACAGGCTGCAAAAACTGCACACCTTTTTCAAAAAAGAGAAATATTTTCACAATCTCATAGTTTTCCTTGATCACAAAAGCTCAGTTTGCACAGCAGGATTTTATTCTCAAAGGATGAATATTTCAAATACAATACGTCCCTCTATGGAGAAAACAACTCTAATGGTCTATACGGATGGTCTAGTGAGATCATTACTAAGAAGTATTGTTGATTAACAAACAGAGTGAAGAGAAAAGACACATGAAATGAGGTGTGGTTTGGGTAAGCAGTCAAACTTAACAAATATTTAGGGCCAGAACAGACTGAGTAATTAAAAAAAAAAAAAAAAAGGATGGGAATGGGGAAGCTTCTTGCATTCCCTGGAGACAGTAAGACAGAGTGGGGGCAGGGCCAAGGACACTGGACTTGGAGGAGATACTGCACATGAGGTTTGTGTTGGAAAAAGGTACAGGGAGGGGTGGGAGAGTCTGTTGGCCTTAAAGTTCTTCCATATGACTGGGCATTCTAGAAACCTGACCAGCTTATTCAATGGAAGAATGGTTCTTAGGGTGGACAGACCATATCTAAGCCAAAGGACATCAGCTTCCTGTTCCCTCTGGCCCAGAGAGCAGACTCAAAACTCTCTTACATGTGCTGCCTCTTGGTGGGTCCGTTTGCACACCTTCTGGTGCTGGGCTGAATATCCAAGACCCTGTCATCAGGAGCTGAGGAGGGTAGTTAAGATGAAAACAACTGAGGCGCTCTCATCAGTAAAGTGACCAACAGGCACACAGGCATAGGGACAGCTGAGGGAATGACTGCAGATGGCAAAGTAGGGAAGGGGGTCAGATATTAAAGTTGGATTTAAAATACATTTAAGAGAGGTATTTAACTAGATTATCAATGAGATAGTGAATTGCTGAGTCATGGAATGGGCTCTGCAGGGTCATTTTAGTCCTACATCATAACCTCCCCACAGTGGTGTGGAGAGGCCAGTTTGTTACTCTGCAGAGGTAAGTATGGAGGCGGCTTTTGTACACAGCGTGGGTTACATTGTAAATCAGGAAAGGCCTCTTTGTCAGCTCCAGGTGGGACCCCTGAGAATGAAGGGATGTCCTGGTGTCTGTGTTGTGGTCCGAGCATCACATGAGCAACATTTCCTCTAAGGAGGCCACACAGACTCAAAGTCAGCATTTCTCTCTACTTAACTATGTGCCGTTTTTCATACCACAAAAATTATCAGGCAAAGGGGCTCGAAAATCACAGGGAGGTCCATGCAAGCAACGTTGATGTTCTATGTGTCTTCCAGTGATCAGTGAAACTGTCAGAGAAGACTTTCCTATTCCTGATACCTCTTTTTTTTTTATTTTTAAATTTATTTATGATAGTCACACACAGAGAGAGAGAGAGGCAGAGACACAGGCAGAGGGAGAAGCAGGCTCCATGCACCGGGCGCCCAACGTGGGATTCGATCCCGGGTCTCCAGGATCGCGCCCTGGGCCAAAGGCAGGCGCCAAACCGCTGCGCCACCCAGGGATCCCGCCTAATACCTCTTAATATGATTAACTTAGTGAGAATCTTGTGAGCTTCCAGGAAGAGAACTGCTTAGGTCGAGTTTATAAAGAATACTAATGAGATACACCAAAGGAAATGACCAAGGCCGATTCTCAGGGATAAAACTCCCCCTCAAAAGGAGTAAAATCTGAACTGCTTATTAAAAGTACATCATGGACATAAAGCAACCATATGCAAAACAGCTGAGCACACAGAGCTTCATAGAGGTGGGGCTTAGGAACGTTAGAAGGTCAGGTCTGTTCATCTCCATTTCTAATGGTCTACAATGTTTTATGATGTTTTGATTTTATCAGCATTGAAATAGTAAAAAAGAACCAAAAAACATATATGTGTGAAACAAGCTGTAAATCTGCCTCCTTTGGCCAAACTATGTGTGTCTACATGACCACATGTGGGTGGAAAGGGTCCCTAGGCATAATCACAAAATCAAAAGGTTATTTTCTCCGATGTGGGCAAATTTCACTTTAGTTGCAAACCCTTCATTGACAGCATACTCAACAATGAGCAACCGGGAGAGCTCTGACTTTTGAATAGAATATATGAATATGTCAAAGTCCTTTGAAACTCAGGTAGTTGAGGTGAAAGCATTCCACAAGAAAAGCACTCCTCCTCCTTTCTCTGAAAGCTGTCTTACATTTCAAAAGATGACTAGGCATATTCGGAATTTCAAATAGTAGGATGTATTTTGCAGAGAGAAGAGAAAGATTTTTTCATACTACTAGGCAAATGCTTTGTGAAAGGGGTGGGGAGGGGCATGGGAAAGCAGGAGAAAGGGAGCACCAGATAGATACCATGTGGTACTAAATGCTGTGGTACTAATTGGTACTAAATGAATGTGGTACTAAATGAATCAGTTCTACACCTGTAACACAAATGAGACATGTGCCTCTGTGACCCCAGACCCAGGGTGTACAAGAGCAGCTGTAGGCAAGTGGCTGCTGTCACTGCCTAGGATTGTTGAAGGGTCTTGATTTAGCCCATGGACAAAATCGTTGAACAGCAAATATAAACCATCACCGAATGTAAGTCATGAAGAATCTTAAGGAAATTCTTGTTTTATTTATATAGATACGAACTCCTATTTAGCTAATTAGAGCAATGATTACACAATTGACATTCCTGTTCTAGGTTTGTTCACACACTAGAATGGCTTAAGAAAAGCATTATCTAATTTTGATTTTATTTTACACTCTCAAAAGAGATAGAGGGAACATGAAGAAAAAAATGTGGCTCATTCCCTAATTCTGAGGTCCAGCAGGGACAAAACCAGGCTTCTCTGACTCCAGGCCCATCCGAATTGCGGGGAGGTTTCCATGCCTAGGGAAAACCAGGGCAGACGAGGGAAGCCCACTGTGCCCCAGCCTATGTAATGCTACAGTGATTATAACCATGCTCTAGCTGAAGCATATGCTTAACACTAAAGAGGATTTCAACTTAACATCTAAATTTTAAAACTGGAGCATTTCAGCAACGAATAAGCTCAGAGAGCTCATCCCAGAAGTGAAATGAAAGAACTATTGCTCTGACATCTGAAAATCAAGCTGCAGGTCCCAGTTTCACTCCCCTCTCAGGCTCAGGCAGACACATAAGGGGGCGGTGGCTCCTTGGCAGCACCATTCACGGTGGCATCATCATATGGGGGTAATAGCACCTGAGAAGAAACGGAGAAGACCAGAGTGAGTTTTAAAAGTGCACATACATTCCCCTGAACTTTAGCTTCTGTGGAACTTTCTTTTTTTTTTTTTCCTGTGGAACTTTCATGCAGCTAAATGTTTGCCATCACCTGTACCAAATTTCAACCCACCAGCAAGTGGCTATACTTCGATGAGACTTTTTCTTTTCTTTCTTGATGAGACTTTTGTTTCTTTCTTTTTTTAATTTATTTTTTTATCCGTGTTCAATTTGCCAACATACAGAATAACACCCAGTGCTCATCCCACCAAGTGCCCCCCTCAGTGCCCGTCACCCAGTCACCCCCACCCCCCACCCTCCTCCCCTTCCACCACGCCTAGTTCGTTTCCCAGAGTTAGGAGTCTCTCATGTTCTGGATGAGACTTTTTCTTAAAGAAAAAAATGCGAAGAGACTTTTGCTCCTTTCTAGTTTTTTTTTTTTTTTTAAGATTTTATTTATTTGACAGAGAGAGAGAGAGAGCACAAGCAGGAGGAGAGTGAGAAGCAGACTCTTCAGTGAGCAGGGAGCCTGATGCAGGATCCGATCCCAGGACCCTGAGAACATGACCTGGGCTGAAGGCAGACACTTAACCAACTGAGCCACCCAGACACCCTGCCCTTTCTAGGTTTTCCAAACCCTGTTCACATGTACCTGGATGTCAAGGTGCCTGGAAGGCCCCAGGGCTATGTCTCTAGGACTAGGAAGGAGGCAACTGTGTCTCTTGACAGGAAAAAAGGCTTCTGGGTGATGTCTAGTGTGCATACAAATAGGGCAGGCATCTGTCTGACTCAGGAACCACTCATGGTGACATCAGCCACATTTTGTCAGTGTGGCCTTAAATAACTTACTTGACCTCAATTTCTACATCTATAATATGGGGATGCCAGAGAATGAGAGGTCTATAAAATATGTAACACTACTTGATGCACACCTAAGATGGTTGATATCTGTAAATGGCTGAAGAGGAACAAACAAGCACAACTGACAGCCTCCCTGTTCACATCTCAGGTACAAAAACAAGTGCTTGGAATGGTTCATGAACTGTCAACAGAAGAAAACACTGATTGATTTCAGAGTAAACAAACCAGGGAGTATGAACTCAATGTAATTAGCCTTTCTTCAGTCAACTAACACTGATCACGCATATACTAGGTGACAAGCATCATGAGTACAAGTTCATTAAGATAAAGGAGGGTCCCTGCCCTTAGAAATTCAGAGATGAGATGAACTAAAACCTTACCTACCTCAAGTGCTTTGTGGAAAGAGAAAGAACATTCACAAACAGAACAGAACAAAACAAATATATGGACATTGCTTAAATGGAAAGCGGTAGATGTTTATCAATTTCTCGCATTTTCATTTATTTATCCCTTTAGCTTCCAGAGGAACATTAACATTTTTTTTAAGTTTTCTATTTTAAGTTTTTGTCATACAGTATTCACCCAACAATATCATGCATACACACACACACATGCTCCTACCTCTCTAATTCAACACACTTGACTGTATATTCTCCTCTTCCAGTCATGGAGCTCCTGCTGGGCTGAAATCTGGTCTTATGCAACCCTGGAGTTGGGCCCAGTGCCTATTCAACAGTAGGAACTCAGATGTTTCTGGAATGAATGAGTGAGGCATCACCTGGGCTGGTCCTGAGAGGATCTGTACAGTGTATTAGGTTAGATGAGGAAGTGCAGCCTGGCATTCTAGGCAGAGGATATTGACACCGGCTAGGGTCCGATTAGGAGACAGAAACCACCCAGTCATTTGAACAGAGAAGGTTTAATAAAGAATAATTAACAGAGGACTGGTGGTGAACCAGGTAATATTGGGCATGATCAGTGGATGGGTGTGAACAAGATATCAAAGAAGAACACAAGGGGAAAAATACTTTAGGCCCTTCAGGAAGAGGGATCGGGCCCAGACAGAAGAGGAGGTGCTGCAGGTACAAGGGTAAGAGCACAGGTAAGAGGAGAGAAGCCTGAAGGTACAGCATCTTCTGGGACCTGAGGGGAAGAGAGGCAAGGGCCAGAGCATGAACACAGCCCTGTCTTCCACCCAAAGGCACTTCACCCAGGCTCTGGCAGCAGCTTCTCCACAAGGGATCCTAAAGGGTCTCAGCTTGACTGGGGAGAAAAGTGTATTTTCTACAACAAACCCAGAGCTCCTCTCTCTGCATCTGCACACTGGTGTGTGTGTGCACACAGATGTGGTAACTTATAACCAGCAGCAACAGCTGTGATCGACACTAGAAATATTAAATTTTGCATGACTGAGCTTCAGCATTATGTTCCTCAGCCTCATTAAACAATTAAATGATTCATATCTATCACTATCCTTGGAGAAATTATCCTAAAACACAGTGGAGCTACTTAAAAGGGAATGAAATCAGCCACTGCATCCAATTTTTTCTCTTTCCTGAGCAAACTACGATACTCAGATTCTCCCAAATATACACAGATCAAACACATTTTTTTAGAAAGAAAAAAACAGTACTGTAACTTTAACTTTTGTTTTTCAAAATAGACTTACTTTCATATTGTTAGGTTGTCACTGATTCTTGTGATTTATCTTCAAACTTGATTTATTTTTTTTTAATATTTTATTTATTTAGGGGTGGGGAAAGATGGCAGGAGAGTAGAGTCCTCAATTAACCTGGCCCCACCACCTTACCTAGATAACTTTCAAACCATCCTGAACACCTACAAATTTGACCTGAGATTTAAAGTGAGAATAGCCGGAATGCGACAGAGAGAAGGGTTTTCGCTTCTAGCAAGGTAGGAAGGTGGGGGAAAATATATATAATAATCAGGAGGTGGGGCAGGAGGGCAGAAGAGTAGGGTCCCCAAGTCACCCGTCCCCAACGTACCTAACTTTCAAATCATCCTGAAAACCTACGAATTTGGCCTGAGATTTAAAGAGAGAACAGCTGGAATGCTACAGAGAGAAGAGTTCGCGCTTCTATCAAGGTAGGAAGACGGGGAAAAAATAAAGAAATAAAAAAGCATCCAAGGGGGAGGAGCCCCGGGAGGAGCAGGCTACGGCCCTGCGGTGAGTGCCCCCAGGACAGGAGAGCCCCGGCGGGAGAAGCAGCTTTACCAATCTTCCTGGATGGAAAGGCGCCTGCAGGGAGCTTGGGCAGGATCCCGGCGGGGGGGCGGGGGGTGCCCTCAGGCTCCCAGGGGCACTAACAGACACCTGCGCCCGGGGAGAGCGCCACACCGCCGGCACTGGAGAGGGCTGGAGCGCGCGCAAGGCGGGCCCTGGGAGGAGCCCAAGCATTGCCTCGGGCAGCGGCTCCGGGCAGAGGGGGCTGCGCGGCCTGGGAGCGCCGATTCCAGCGATGTAGGCCCTGGAGCCCAGGGCACCAGGGGACACAGCCCAAGATCCGGCGCTTCCTGGGGACAGGCGGAGGCTGGGAGGACACAGGGCAGCAAGGACCCTCCTGCCACTGGGCCGCCTGGAGCTGTGCAGATCGGCGCCCCCTGCCCCTGAAGCATCCAGGCCCCTGCGGACTAGGAGCTGCAGTAGTTACTGCGGGAGAGCTGGCCGCCACCACTGTTGTTGTTCCTCCTGGTGTCACCTTGTGCCTGAGACTGAGCAGGGCCGCCAGGGAGCAGGGGCCTCACAGGACAAACAGCTCCCACTGAGCTGTACACCTGGCAAGGGGCTGGGCAGCTCCCCCAGGTGCACACACCTGAGTATCAGCACAGCAGGCCCCTACCCCAGAAGACCAGCTGGAAGGACAGGAGAAGAGCAAGTTCTTGACCAAGCAGCGCTAGAAAGTTCCAGGGGAAGTCGAGGAATTTACAGTACATAGAATCAGAGGATACCCCCTCTTGTTTTTTGTTTTCTGTGTGTTCCCCCCCTTTTTTCTTTTCTCTCTCTTTTTCTCCTTTTTCCAGTACAACTTGTTTTTAGCCACTCCGCACTGAGCAAAATGACTAGAAGGAAAAACTCACCACAAAAGAAAGAATCAGAAACAACACTCTCTCCCACAGAGTTACAAAATTTGGATTAAAATTCGATGTCAGAAAGCCAAATCACAAGCACAATTATAAAGCTGCTGGTGGCTCTAGAAAAAAGCATAAAGGATTCAAGAAACTTCATGACTGCAGAATTTAAATCTAATCAGGCTGAAATTAAAAATCAATTAAATGAGATGCAATCCAAACTGGAGGTCCTAATGATGAGGGTTAATGAGGTAGAAGAACGAGTGAGTGACATAGAAGACAAGTTGATGGCAAGGAAGGAAGTAGAGGAAAAAAGAGACAAACGATTAAAAAAAAAGATCATGAGGATAGGTTAAGGGAAATAAATGACAGCCTCAGAAGAAAAAAATCTACGTTTAATTGGGGTTTCCGAGGGCGTCAAAAGGGACAGAGGACCAGAAAGTGTATTTGAACAAATCATAGCTGAGAACTTCCCTAACGTGGGAAGGGAAACAGGCATTCAGATCTAGGAGATAGATCTACCCCCCCTAAAATCAATAAAAATCGTTCAACACCTCAACATTTAATAGTGAAACGTGGAAATTCCTAAGATAAAGAGAAGATCCTTAAAGCAGCAAGAAACAAGGGATCCCGAACCTTTATGGGGAGAAGTATTAGGGTAACAGCAGACCTCTTCACAAGATCTGGCAGGCCAGAAAGGGCTGGCAGGATATATTCAGGGTCCTAAATGAGAAGAACCTACAACCAAGATACTTTATCCAGCTAGGTTCTCATTCAGAATAGAAGGAGAGATAAAGAGCTTCCAAGATAGGCAGAGACTGAAAGAATATGTGACCACCAAACCAGCTCTGCGAGAAATATTAAGGGGGACTCTGTAAAAGAAAGAGGAAGTCCAAGGAAACAATCCACAAAAACAGGGACTGAACAGGTATCATGATGACACTAAATTCATATCTTTCAATAGTAACTCTGAACGTGAATGGGCTTAATGAACCCATCAAAAGGCGCAGGGTTTCAGACTGGATAAAA